ATTATAAAGAATCGATCTTGCTTTGTTTTGACAAATGATCCTCATACTTTTTATCGCTACATTAACGCGCAGCAGGCTCGTCGGAATCCGCTGATTTTCCGTACCTGCATCCATCCGTGTTTACTGTCGCGTTAAGTGCGTCCACGTGATGTTTTCTCGGCTCCTTTGATGCATCATTCTCTAATATTATGGTGCGCCCAGAAGGGGTTTCTCCTAATGCTCGCGTCAGTGCTCCAAACTTCCCAAAGATCAAGTCTTTTATCTTCTAAGTGGCTCCGGTTTAGACTACAAAATACGTCTTGTTTTTTATTTTTATTTTTTTTATTCACGTTGTTGCCAAAATCATGACAGTAAGGGAAGTAAAGCCTCGTATTTCTTCCTGTTGACATTTAGTGACACACATTTCTGATACTTTTTATGGGATCAAGCTATAAAAAACTACAATTGTAGATGAACATGTTGCACTTCCCCACATTGTGTGTTTAACCCGGCTTCAGCCTGTAAATGATGATGCAAGCAAAAGATAAATCATGACCAGTCACTGAGCAGCTTTTTTGACATGTTCTAAAATGAACAGGAGTCTGTGCAAGTTTAGTAACTTTATTTATTTTAGTGAATAGAGTGGCTCGGCAGTACAAGCTGTAGGAACCTTTGGCATCAGTGTTAACCTGCAGCCTCGCCAAAGCAACAAGACTTTAACTCCTTTACCCCCTCCACAAATAAAAAGAGAGTTACAGCGAACACCTTCCATGTGTAATGTCTTACTCAACAGTAATGTTTATGGGTGAGTGTAAAAGCATTGATATATAGAAGGGGAGAAGAACATATGTTCCTATAAAACCCGCCTTCTGTTCCTGCTTCATTGTGGTCTCAAGAGGAGGGTGTGGAGGTACTTAAGTTAGCTGCGCACCGTCTTCATCTCCAGAGACACAAGTAATGTTTTAAAAGTGGCATCTCCCTCTCCGCCTCTGCCCTCCTCTGTCCCGAGCACGGCTTATGCATAAATGAGCAGCCCCTCTCATGGCTTTTATTGGGTTGTGAGTTTGGTTGACGGAAAAGCCCCCCCGAGCCTTCGTTTGCGTAAATGACTGTGAATCGAAATGAATATTTGTCCAACTTATGCTACATCGCTGATTAAGTGTTGGGAGTCGAAGTGAAGCTCCTAAAGCCTCGCCGGAGCTTTACTCAGCTCATTAAAGCTGCAAAAACTTACACTGCAAGTTGGGATGATGGCGGCTGGGGAATTGAAAACAATACGAGTGTTTTATCACGGGGGGAGGCTGCGGTGGTCAAGCGGCTGCGGTCTTCTAATCCTGAGCCTGCAGGTTCAAAGCCTGGTTGCATCAAGAAGGGACATCCGGTGTAGAAGAGTTGCCAAATCTTTCATGCACCTCGCTGTGGCCAAGAGAGCAGCCAAAACAACAACTATATTATCATATTTTGGCCACAGTGTTGGGTTTTTAGACCTTTTGCAGTTTTTTAAATAATTTTTATGTGCTCTCTCCTACTGAACCAGTGCTCAATGGCAGCTTCATTCCTCCTCTGCTTCCTCTTTTGCTTCTTTTCACTTGGCACAGAACTTTTGACACTTTCCAAGCCAGACCAGCACAAATCAGAGGTCTATTTTCAGTACACCACACTTTATTCACTTTCCAACTTCCTCTTCTTAAACTTTTTTTGGTCTCTTCATGGCTTGTTTTCTTTGCTTTTTGCAACAAAAAAAAAATGTGTGCACCAATTATCTACCTCACTTCAAAAAGTCTTTTGGACGGATTCTGAAAGACATGGCAGCGACAATGAAGACACATTTAAATGCACACAACAGAAGAGGGGATAGGAAATAAAAAAAGTAAAAAGACATGGTTATTGTGCTATTGTGCCATCTTGTCTATTTAATTGTAATTAAAAAGCTTGACTCAGATCCAGGATGTGTTTGCGCCTCTCCTCGCCGCTCCCCTTCTTGATATTGTTATTAATCCGCAAAACCGTTTCAGAGTTAATTAAAAGCAATGACTTCAGCGTCAGTCTCTCAAGAGGACCATAGTGAATAATCACTCTGTCTCCTCCTTTAATAAGCTTCAACGTCCTTCGTGCACATGGCTCTTCCCTTGCAATTACCACTGCAGTCTGCACCTTTTCATACACACACGTTTGCACATGTTCAAACAACCCACTGGCTCAACCCACCCCAACCGTGCACTGCCCTCCAACTCTCCTCTACAGCCCACAGATGTTCACTTCTCCTCAGAAGCTAAAAAGTTTTCATCTTAAAGCACTGAATTTTTTAAAGCAACGGGGAAAGAATTGGATTGTGACATCTCTGAATCTATTTGCTAAGACAGCGCCATCCGTTTTGTTCATTGTTCTCAAGCGATGCACTGGAAAAGATTAAGTTGGGGTGCACTGCCTTGTGCTCAAACTTTGCTTTTAACTTGCTTCTCTCTCTCTCTCTCTCTCTCTCTCTCTCTCTCTC